TATACTAACCTAACCTAACAAAAGTTTTGAGAATTAATAAAATTTGGTTTATATATACTAACCTAACCTAACAAAATTTTGAGAATTAAAAAAATTGTTTTATATTAAGTTTTTGCAAATATAAAAGATAAAATAAAATTGTATAAATCGTATTATAGAAACGTCTTTGTTATATACTTTGCCTAAAGAATCTGAGGCATTTTATAAAATTCCTAGGTATTCTATAGAATAGAATAAACTTGTTAGTTGCATACATTACCTAAAAGTTCTAGGCATTTTATAAAATGCCTGGGCATTCCATAGAATGCCTGAATTTCATACTTTGCCAATTGACTTTAGGCATTCTATACGTTGCCGGATTTCATAGTGTGTCGGTAACATTACATAATTGATAAAGCTATTAGACGGGTTTCAGCCACAGAAAATATCAAAACCTCAGGAATGAAAGCCGGAATATATTCCTTTTCATAAATCAATTAAGTAATCAGTCAACTTGTAAAGCGAAGAACACATTATGGACATGTACACGTCCATCTGCCGATCTTTTCGTAGGGAGTGGGCAACGGACATTAGCGTTGTCATTGTCGCGTAACAACGTTAACCGTGGTTCAACTACTGAAACGCATTAATGAGCAATGAGAACATCGTACATTAGTGCAACGATTACCTAAGGGCATTGTTGTTTAGTGCAGCAGTGACCTACGTGATGTGGCTTAAAGAACGCCTTTGGAATGCCAGCACAATCCAAACAACGCGCGTTTATGATCTTGTGTTGCCACAGGAAGTTTTTAAATCTGAGCCACTTAAGCGTCTGATGTTGCAGGGTCTTCCGCCACCAAGACGACGACGACGACGTCAACTACTGTGCGGACCGCGTCGGCGTCTCTGAACTGCAGCACGGATGCCAACTGTAACAGTCAGATCCCGACTAAAGGTCAGTTCCTGGCACCAGGTTCTAACTTTCAAAGTGCACAAACGTTTGACTGCTTTTACGTAACGTCACATCTGCCCTCGATAAGTTTCTGGGCGTGTGAGCCATGATTTGAATATTGGCGTACCGCGATAATTTCAGTCTTTGTATATTCTTCATCGTTATAACATTTTCACTCCAATGTGGAGCACAGGTGGTTTCTCTGATCTATTTAGACATTTGGGTAGGACTCTTTGGACGAGTGATCAGCCCGTCGCAAGGCGTCTATCTGTACACAGGACAGCAAAACACAGAAAAACGCGAACAAACATCCATGCCTTGAGTGGGATTCGAACCCGCTGTTATAGTATCCGGTAATCTTTGTACATTGAACAAGCTTTATTTCGTACTTACGTAATTCTTTTACATTGTCACCGATGGAATATGTCAAAAACGTCTATTTCTTAAGTCGTTTTCACAATAAAATTTTCATATATTCGCCTATTACCTTAGGGGTTCTCACCCTTTTTCGCTGGCGTACCACTAATTCTAATTTAACACACCAATCAAATGCGTTCAGGGAAAACTTATTTATGTTAATAATTATTTTTCGATTTTCTTACTTAGTTCGCTTACCACTCAACATTGACTCGCGTACCATAGGTTGATAAA